GCCTTAGAGCCTTCTCGGAGTTCGTCAGAGCTAGCAAAATAAATTAAAGAAACCAGATAAGAAAAGTGATTGATTCAACCGATAAACCGATGATAAACCATTCAGCTTACCTTATGGAGAGTGGTGGAGTTAACCGGACAATAGTGTTGTGAGTGGGTTTAGCTAAAACTCCTCTCTCCTTCAAGCTTAAGCAAATATCGTAAGCTGAAACCGGAGATAAGCTTTCGCTATTGAATTCAACTGCATTGAACAATCCTCTTCCTCGCACTTCTTTTATGTAATGCGGAAACTGTTTCTTGATTTCATTCAATTGACTCCTCAGCTCTTCTCCGAGACTTGCTGATCTATAGATTCAAACCATAACAGGAACTAAAAACGTTAATCGCTTGTAAAGAACCCAAATCGATTTACAAAGTAAAAATGGTACCTTTCGACAAGTTTCTCTTCCTCGATAATGTCTAAAGAAGCCATAGCTACAGCACTAGCTAAAGGGTTCCCACCAAATGTGCTGATCCAGACAATCAAGAATACAAAAACGAACAAACTTTATCACATTAATCAAACCAATAAAATGTTCTTAAAATGATAATCTCAGTTAGTAAGAAGAGCAAAGTAATGCTTATTATGCGAACCTTCCGTGTTGGCCAGGTTTGATGTGGAGCATCACATCTTTATCAGCAAGCACAGCACTTACAGGAATTACTCCACCACCTAATGCTTTCCCAAGTATCTTCAATAAACATATTGAAGATTGGATATATAATCTATGTCATGGCTTTGCTCAGAGAAGATATCTAAAATAATGAAAGCTTATAAGAGGTAAAAGAACATACCACCATGTCGGGACGAATTTCTTCCCAATCACAAGCTAACATCTTTCCGGATCTCGCTAGACCGCTTTGTACTTCATCAGCTATCATCAAGACGTTGTGTTTTGTGCAGAGTTCCCTGACAGTTTTCAAATAACCGTCGGGAGGAATAATAACCTAAACCAAAGACATTTTTAACAGTTTACAAACAAAACCAGCATATTCATCCTCTAAAATAATATATCGGAAAATTATCATAGCTTGAACGAAAGAACGTACTCCAGCTTCGCCTTGAATAGGCTCGAAAAGAAATCCCGCTATTTTATCTCCCTTTTCTGCAGTTATCACAACAATAAGATTATCCACTCATTATCTCAAGCTCAAATGTTAATCTCAGAAATGAAATTCTCGGGTTGACAACTGAAGAAGAAAACATTTTCAAACCTTTAAAGATCTTCTCAAGTGAATCCGCATCACCAAAATCAACTTTAAGATTCCCAGGCAACAATGGCCCGAATCCACGCGTAGCGTCATTGTCACAACTCATGGAGATAACTGCTAATGTACGACCATGAAAGCAACCACAACAAGAGACGATTATAGCCTGTAAAACAGTTTCCCAAATTTTTCAACAAGTTATGACAAACAATAATGCTTATACGAAAAACCGGAAAAAATTGTAATTATACCTCATCTTTGGGAATATTTTTACTTTCATGACCCCATTTTCTTGCTATTTTCAAAGCGGTTTCGACACCTTCAGCACCAGTGTTCATAGGAAGCACCATCTCATAACCAAACATATTTGTTAGCCGCTCAGCAAATACCGGGAATTTATCGTTATAAAACGCTCGTGAACTTAAAGTGAGCTTCTCTACTTGTTCCTGCAATGCCTTCATGAGCTTAGGATGGCAATGTCCCTGCATCAATACATGAAAATATCATACAAATTACATTTAGTCTCACACTGAAACAAAAACAATGGATCTGACAATTATAAAACTTTCCACATATTGTATCGAAGCGGTTTCTTGGAATGATTAGTACCTGATTAACTGCGGAATAAGCTGCAAGAAAATCGATGTATCGCTTTCCTTCAGGGTCCCATATAGTTGATCCATTAGCACGAGAAAACACAACCGGAACAGGATGGTAACTGGATTTTTGGACATAAACAAGATATAAGGATTAAGGAACATTAGTTTCAAACATTGAAATCCAGAGATTAACAGAGAAATTCCGATCGAAATAAACAAAACCCAAAAGAGGAAAAGTTTCGGAATTTCAAAAAGTGAATTTCCGTCGACGATATAATCCAAATCGGAGAAAAACGAAAACTTGAGGAACGCAAAAAAAAATAAAGAAAGAGACTTTACTTGTGTGCGCTGAATTCAGATTCCAATTCGATCAATCTCTGAGAAGAAGATGGAGATTTGGAGTTCGATTGCGGCAACCCGCCATAGCCCCGCCGTGCTCCGGCGGTAGAAAGTCTCTTAGATACACACTGAAGCAACCGTCTCGTAGTTGCCATTAGAGTCTTTCAGAGGTGGAAGCAAACGTTTTTCTCTCTCTCTTTTGATGTAATCTCTGTTCGTTTTCCCAGAAAATGATAGTTTTATCCGATGAACTAAAAATGATAAAACACGATTATTAGGAATGAGTAAATCCGGTTTACGGTTTAGCTTTGGTTCAATAAATCTCAGATTTTGTGTTGAATAGATTTTAAGAAATTGAAACAAAAATTAAACCATTCCGATCTGCTTGGTTTTGGTTCCACTCTTAGATTTTGAAATAATTACCAAATGATTTATTAAACAAATTTCAGTTTGGTTTTGTTCTATTTCTCTGGTTCAATGGA